AATTTTTGTAACATCAAAAAACTGGAATCATTGAGTGCTTATGAATTGAAGAATGGTCAGACAAGCCGCATTATAAAGAATGTTGCAGAATGTTATACCACAAAATACTCATATTTTTAAATATGAGTAATTCAGAAAAACGGGAAGACTTGTACAAAGAAAAAATGCAGAGTAAAAGAAACAATTAATCCATAAGCATTTATTAAGTACCTGTTAGGTATCTGATATTGTGCTAGGCTCTGGAGATACAATGACAAAAATGAAATAGTCCTTGCCCTCAAAGATCTTACTAAGAAAATTTTTTATATAAATATATATGTATAATGATGAAAATGAAAACCACATCAAAGGGCATTCCACAAAAGTATTAGTTCTGGAGAATCGAAAATAAAACATACATCTCTTTCATTAAAGAGATGGGATTCTATCAATATGGGAATGTTGTATGTAGTTATATATTATTTGTTTGGTCACTTGTTCATAATTTGTTATATTTGGGAGAATATATTTGGAAATATCTGTGGTTAAAAAAAGACTTATTTTTGTAAAGGGGGAAAGTAAGAGAGAGGTTTGGAGTAGTTAATTTTTTTATTTTTATTTTTATTTTTCATTTTTTTTGCTTTTTGGTGAGGCAATCTTTTTGAAATCATCTCTTTCCTCATGGCACAATGTTATCCCAACACATTCCTATACCACAGCTTATGTCATCTATTCTTCAATTGCTAGGGATCCCCTTAGTTTTGTTTTTTTTTTTCTTTTTTGGTGAGGTCATTGGGGTTAAGTGACTTGCCCAGGGTCACGCAGCTAATACGAGTCAAGTGTCTGAGACCGGATTTAAGCTCAGTTCCTCCCAACTCCAAGGCTGGAGCTCTGTCCACTGAGCCACCTAGCTGCCCCTGAGAGGTTCCTTTCTAAGATCAGTTACATTGATCTAAATCCAAAAATCTTCTATTCTAATTTTTCTTGCCATCTCATGAGGATTTTTTTACATTGAAAATGTGTTTTAAAATTATTTTTAATGATCATTCAGTTTGTGATCATCCCTTCCTTTTGATTGAATGGAGCAGTGGAAAAAGGTAAGAGAAAACCAGGGAAAATTAATGGGCATCAATCTCCAGAAGCGGGAGTCTGGCACTTGAGTAGCAAAGAACCATGCTCCCTGGTATAAACTTGCCATCTAAATCTTGAGGAGGGATGTCTAGAAGTTGATTCAGAATTAATTGTAATAAATATGGCACACTTCAAAGGGAACATGTATAGGTCTGCTCTGTGCAATTACACAAATGGGATGACTTCTCAGGTAAATACAGAAATTTCACCTGTGATTACACTCATGGTTTCTTTTAGTTCATTGACTTCTGCCAGTAAACTCCACAGTTTTATGTAGCTCTGTCCTATATAAACCAACATGTCTCTTACCACCTATAAAAAGAAATGTACCTAGAGCACCAGCCCTAAAGTCAGGAGGACCTGAGTTCAAGTCCAGCCTCAGACACGTAACACTCAACTAACTCACTAGCTGTATGACTCTGGGCAAGTCACTTAACTTAAAAGCAACATACCATGGCCTTCTTTTTCACAGCTGTTGATAATGATATCTAGCCCAATGCCCTCATTTTACATATGAGGAAACTAAATTGTCAAATAGTGAAGTGATTCACCCAAGGTCACACAGGCAGTAAATGGCAAAAATTCAGTTCCATTGTTCTTTCCTCTGTTCCACCCTATGGCTCTTTAAAATAGCAACTTCCTGAGATTTCCACCTTAAGTCACATAAGCAAGATGCAACTAGGGGGCATAGTGAAGAATGCTGGATTTGGAGATAATATATGGAAGGCACTTGTTAATCTTTAAAAGCCTTTTTGAATGTCACTTATTTTGATTAAACTTGTGAAGTTGAATGTTTTAGTTCAAGTGTAAGAGTTTACATTTATTCCTATTGAATTTCTTCAGTTCAGCCCCAATGCTTTATTCTTTAGTATGTTAATGTCTCAGCTGTGTGTCCTCAAATTTGATAAATACACAAACTCTTCCTTCATTGAGAAAAATATTAAATAGCCTAGGGACAAGCACAGATTCTTGGAGCATTCTACTTGACTTGCTTCCAAGGTGTTATCAAACCATTTATGAGTACTCTTAGATTCCAGCTATCCAGATACTTCCAAATCCATCTAGTTGTACATTTATTCATTAATTACATTGTACATCCAGCTAATTTTCGCATTGTAATATCACTGGAGACTTTTTCAAACTGTTGGTTGAAATTTAAGTATAACTATGGAATTGTGGGTGTTTAATAACCCTGTACAAAAAAGAGGCAACATTAGCTTCCAAGATCTGTTCTTGATGAAGTCACTGTGACTCTTTCTAATCATTGTTTCCTTTTCTAGATATTCAGTAGCTGTCTCTTTAGGGTGTTGCTTAGAATCTGTTCCTTGGGGCCCAGCTAGTGGTGCAGTGGATGGAGTCAGGCGTACTTGAGTTCAAATCTGTCTTCAGACACTTGACATTTGGTAGCTGTGTGACCCTGGGCGAGTCACTTAACCTCGATTGCTTCGCCAATGCTTGTTCCTTCCTCAGCCTGACGAGCCATCTCTCTCATCATTTAAAAAAAAAAAATCTATTCCCTGGTTTCATCGGCCTTGTTTACAAAGTCCATTCTTTTCTTCCCTTTTTTTGAAAATTGGGACAAACATTTGCCCTTCTCTAATACAGCACTGACCTTTCCTCTTTCCATGTTCTTTCAAATATCAGTTACACAAACCAATTCTTTCAGTACCCAAGGATGTAGCTAATTCATCGAGACTCTCTATGCTCTCTCACAATCTCCTTGGTAACCTAAGGGCAGGGAAACTTGAAACATCTTAGTTTTAAAAGATAGAAAACGTGGTTACTTGGTAACTTTGAAAAAAGCAGTGCCATTCTTTCATATTCATCCTTTTGCTTGTCCTTGCATTCATCTTCTGCAGATGTCTTTTTTTTTCATCTAAGTTGGCAGATGAATTCCCTGTGTGTACACATGGATATGTTTAGATCATTTCTCAACAGAACTGTTTCTATTCTTTACAATTAAATTTTTGAGAGCATGGTGCAATGGAACCAAAAGATTTATCTTCAAACTCTATCTCTGCCACTTATTACCCCCAGTAATCTTGGCACATGGTAGGAAGAGTATCTTAAGGCGCTACCTCCATACAGATCAGGCTACTTTTGAAACCACCCTTTGAAATTTACTTTGCCTGGGAGACTCAGGCTGGGGCCATTGTTGTAGGTTCTTGGTGGCCTAAGAACCAAAGCCAGAGCAGTGAGAGTCAACAACTCCTGCTTCTTACAGGAAATCCGGCATGAATTCCTAAGGCAGGAAGGCTGTACTCAGCCAAAGCGCCAGAGATTGACTTGAATCAAGCACTTGAAAAGGAGATGGTTCTCTTTCTAGATTCCAAATGTGCAATAATAAGTGCCATTATCATTGTGCTTGAAGGTTTACCAAGTGTTTCACATGTGTCCTCACAGCATCCTCAGTCAAATTCTATGGGAGCTATAATTCCTATTTTGCAGATGAGGAAACAGAGGCTGAGAGAAGTTACATAACTAGTATCAGGCAAGATGCAACTCATGTCTTCCTGATTCCATGTTTGACATTGTCTCCACTGTTCCAGACTGGATAATGTCTACACAAGGCAAGGCAGGTTGAACATTGATCTTATCCTTTCCTTCTCTGTGATTCAAAAGAATGAAAAGTTGTTTCAGTCTTTAAATATAAAAATGGAATTTCTGTGCAGTGAGGAAAGTATATGAAAAGCAATGTCCTGATATTGAGTTCTCTACGTAAGTCTCACACACACACACACACACACACACACACACACACACACACACACAC